GAATGAATTTGAACCTTTAACTCACACCATAGACTAAAATCAACTCAAAGTGGATTAAAGACTTAAACATATGGAGCAAAATCATAAAAATACTAGAAAACATAGGGAACAGTTTCTTGACATTGGTCTGTCAATGATTTTTTAGAAACACAACAAAAGGAGAGGCACCAAAAATCATCAACAGACTGAAAATGCAACCTATAGAATGGATAAAATATTTGCAAATTGTTTGTCCAATGAGAGATCAATACCTAAAATGTACAAGGAACTCATACAACTCACTAAGAAAAACAATTAGTCTAGATTTTAAAATGGACATAGAAACTGAATAGACATTTTTCCAAAAAAAAGATATACAAATGGGCCAACAGGCGTATATGAAAAGGTGCTCAACATCACTAACATCAGAGGAATACAAATCAAAATCACAGTGAGATATCACTTCACATCTGTTAGGATGGCCATCATCAAAAAGACGAGAGATAACAGATTGGTGAGGGTGTAGTGAAAAGACAAACCTTATACACTGTTGGTGAGAATGTTAATTGATGCATCCTTTATGGAAAATAGTATGGAGCTTCTCTGAAAAATTAAAAATAGAACTACCATATGATCCAGCCAGCCCATTTCTGGGTATACATCCAAAGGAAGCTAAATTAGGTCTTTGAAGAGATATCTGCACTCACGTTCATTGCAGCATCATTCATCACAGCCAAGATATGGCTAAGAAACATAGACTGAAGGCAGAATCTCAGAACAATGCTATTTTAGGTCCACTTCCTATCCCTTGATATGAGCATTATTTCACAGCCTATGGAGGAGCTCTGGAGTCAAATGGATCTCAAATTTCTTCCTAGCTCAGCTACCTCCTAGCTCTGTGATGGGTTAGTCACTTGAGCTCTCTGAGCTTTTTCTCCCCCACACTACCTCAGGGTCTTTTCCAGACCAGAAGGCTTGGTGGAGCAGTAAGCCCTTGTAGCCACAGTCTCAAAAAAAAAAGAAAGAAAAATATCCTGTACTGGGAGAATTAAGTTTGAGGATGTCATCCGAACTCTGACGTTTACTATCTCTGGGTCTCGGTTTCTCCATCTGCAAATGAGAGTCATAGATGTATGTGGATCAAAAATGAGAATTAAAAATTGCTTTCTAATGCTTTATCTTGAATTGCCAGTTAGGTTAGTCATTTTGTTTGGATTTATTCAGTTCAATTCAGTTTATTTCATCTTAATACAGATCAATAGACATGGTCTGAGCCCCTTTAACATGCCAGGCACAAGCTCGGTCAGTTGCTTCAGGAAGAGGCAGAAAATGTGCGATTCCTTCTGTACGGTACTCACAGCTGGACCAAGGGAAGCAAACAGATTGTTTCTGGAGCCCAGGAGGCATTTACTGAGCCTTAGGTCAAAGAAGGCTTCCTGGAGCAGAAGTCTGGACTTGAGGGTGAGTAGAAGTCAGATACTCCAGGAAGGGCAAAGGTTTGGCAGTGGGATGAAATATGGCATAAATGCCAGGAGTGAATTGAGTCTGGTGGCAGCCACAGGGTAAGGGGCAGCCACAGGGGTCTGCCGGGCAGATCAGGGAGGGTTCTGCAAAGACGCTAAAGAACCTGGGCTTCCTGTTGAGCAGGGAGGACCTTTGTGGATCTGAGGACCCACAAAGTCAGTTTTGCATCTTACCAAGAGCACTCTGGCTGCAGAGGGGGTGCCAAGCGTGGACTGGAGGGAGGGAGATCAGTGAGGAGGCGAGTGAGATGGAGAGAGGAGCTGACCTCCTCTGGATCAAGCCTGGGCTGGGCCGTGCATGGATGAAACAGACCCAGATCACTGCCCTCAGGGAGCCTCGGGACTAGTGTGGGAGAAAGGGAAAGATGAACAGAGAAGGGCTTTGAGGTCCATCAGGCGTGGAAGGTACTTTGGAGGAAAGAGAGTGGGGTGGGGCAAGGGTCACTTAGCAGGGGGAGGTGTGGCAATTCTGCCTGGAGTGACCAGGGAAGATCTCATCGCCAGGGAAGCTTAAGAGAAAATCTGTGCCTTCATCCTTGCCTCCGCGCCTCCACTCAGCCATATGTGCAGCGGTATCCAGGGAGGGGCCACCAAGGGGCCACCGCAGAGCGGACCAGGGACCCGCTGGGGATGTCCATCCTCTCAAGCTGAGTCTAAGCAGAGGCAGGGGACCAGGCTCCAGGGAGAGTGAGGGATTTCCAAAACTGGCAGTACCCATCACCAGCTGGTTTTTGGGAGTAACAGAAAGTATGAAAAAAAGCAGGACAGCTGTTGTTTTACCTGTTTTTTTTCCTTCTATTTATAGGTCTTCTTTTCAACTTCATTTCAAAGGCCGCGGCGCATCACTTCCCAGTGTCCCCAGCCCCCGCTCACCGTTCTGACCCTCCCTTGTGCATGGCCTGGCTGGCCTTTCACTTTCATCGTTTTTAGAACGGCCGAGTGCAAACTTGTCCCCTGTGGTGAGCAGGCTGGAATACAAGAGCATGAACATAGTTGCCAAGAAAACCTCCCCAGCCTAGATTCAAATCCCTGTTACACCTCTGGCCCCTCTGTGGCCATGGGGCGGTCACTTCACTTCTCTAGGTCTCTGCTTTCCTCTCTGTAAAATGGGTACAAGAGTCCACACACCTGAGAGAGTCCATGGACTGGTCACTAGCCCTCTCTGAACCTCCAGTCAGACCATAAACCCAGCTGAGTCTCTATTTTTAGAGTTCTAGGAATGGCAAATGAGGCCATGAAATCACAGCAGAAGGTCTGTGGTAGAGATGGCAAGGAAAAATGCTTTCAATGCCCCAAGAGGATAAAGGTGATTATCAGAATAAGGAGGGAATTGGATAGGAGAGCAAGATGCTAGGGAACTTAGTTTAAGGCTTGCTTTTTTACAGATGAGGAAAAGAAGGCCCAGAGAAGTTCTGTGACTGCCTTAAGGTCACACAGCATTTCAGGCACAGAGCCTAGGCTGGAACCGGGCAGCAGGTACTCTCTTTGTAGGCAGCACCAGCCAGGGTCTAGAAGGTCTCCTCTAGACACCTCCAAGAAAGAATCTGCCCAGGACCCCTCCCCTGCCCTGGGGGTGTTTGTTGCAGGAAATAATCCAAGTGTTCATCAACAGGAGAGTAATTAAATAGGCTACATCTTATAGAGGAATACTGTATGAGTATTGAAAATGTTGACATGGGTCTATGACAATTCCAAGCTAAAAAAGAATTCAGATTGCTAATCAGACCCACTTCACACCCACTAGGATGGCTAGAATCAAAGAGACGTCAGACAATAACAAGTGTTGGTGAGGAAGTGAAGAAATTGGAGCTCTCATGTCTTGATGGTGGGAGTGTACAGTGATACAGCTGGGGTGGAAAACCATCTGGCACTTCCACAAATGGTTAAACCAAGACATACCACATGACCCAGCACTTCCAACCCTAGGTAGATGTCCAGGAGAAATGAAAGGATATGTCCAGACAAAAACTTGTTCATGAATGATATAGCAGTTTTATTTGTAAGAGCCAAAACGTAGAAAGAACCCAGTGGCCACCAAGGGAGGAATGGACACATAAAGTGTGATCTATCCATACGGTGGAATATTAGTCAGCCATGAAAGAAGTACCAATACATGTTACAATGTGGATGAACCTTTAAAACATTGTACTAAGTGAACGAAACCAGTCCTGAAAGATCATGTACTCTATGACTCCATTTACATGAAATGTCCAGAATAGGCAAGTCTGTAGAGACAGAAAGTAGATCAGTGTTTGCCTAGGGGTGAGAATATAAAGGGATTGGAGGGTGATGGCTAAGGAGTGTGTGGCTTTTTTGGAGTACACAAAATATTCTAAAATTGGTTATGGTAATGGTTACATAAATTGTGAATTTACTAAAAGCCATTGAGCTGTACACTAAATGGGTGAATTTTATGGTATGTAGATTCTACTTTAATAAAGCTCTTTGAAAACTCAAGTTGTAGGAAATCAGGTATAGTCTGATTCTACATGTATGAGAAAAGGATATACATGAGTATGCATGGGACTTCCCTGCTGGCTCAGATGGTAAAGAATCTGTCTGCAATGCAGGAGACCCAGGTTTGATCCCTGGATCGGGAAGATCCCCTGGAGAAGGGAATGGCAAACCACTCTAGTATTCTTGCCTGGAGAATCTCATGGACAGAGGAGCCTGGCAGGCTATAGTCCATGGGGTTGCAAAGAATCAGACAGGACTGAGCGACTCAGCACGTGTTGCCCACACACTGCCTTCTCAGGATGCTCTGAGGAGGCGCACTGGTGCTGGATACAGAGGGAGTTCTCCTTCCCAGTATCAAGCCCAGGGTGTGCAGTGGTCACCGCCTGCATCGCTTCCATGATGAAAACAAAGGCCCACCCTGCATTTAGTCACCGTGGGCTGGCCTGGCCTTCCTCGGGAAGCAGGCCCTGGGGTCGGGAGGGCCCATGTGGAGGCTCCTGAGGTTCCAGGAGGATGGGGCAAGAAGTACTTCTCTCTGGGCCTGGAATCAATTTCCCATTAAAAAACTAGCAAACTAACTAATTTTTGGCCACCTGGCTTCCTAAAAGCCAGCTGGGGTGCCCTACCAAGGCTTCTGAGTGGCTCCTCGGGGCCAAAATCAGAGTACCTCCCCTCCCCAGCTCCAAGAAGCTGCTGAACCATGGACGATGGGATGGGATTTCAGGAGGCTTCTCTTCTAAGCCCAGGAGCAAGCCAAGGGCAAGGTCTCAGAGCGTGCAATCCTGGAGACTTATTTGGTGCCATCTACATTAGAAGAGCCAAACAAGCTAGTCTCCATCAACAGCCCAGTCCATCAGGGTTTGCCACCATCATCTTACAAGTGAGGAAACAGGTGGAGCTCAGAGAGGGAAGTGACCCATCCAAGATCCCACACCTGGAGCTAGGCCTCAAACTTAAATCTGTGGTCTGTGGCCTGACCCTTCTGTACCACATGCATCATTCAAGATATTATACAAGTGAAAAAACCTCAACTCAAGCTGATGCAGATAAGAGAAGAGATTTATTGATTAATATAGCTGGGAAATGGGGTAAATGAGCTTCAGGCGAGGCTTGATCAGGACTCCAGCTCCATTTCCCAGTTGTTCTCTCAGCTCTACCTTCCTTTGTGTCTCTATGAGCTTCATTCTTAGGCTGATTTCTCTCCTGGTGGCCGGATGATTTCTAACACCTGTCAAAAGAGAACACTTCATGCATCCTCCCACAAATCCAGAAAGTCAGCAAGAGCATTCTGTCCCAGCATTCTAAACAAGACTGGAGATTGACTGTGATTATGTGTTTGGGTCGCTCTTCCTCCAAATCAATTACTATGGCCAGGGACTGGGATGAGTGTCAGCCTTCCACAGAGGGTGGGGGATGTGGGAAGCTGAGTGGATTGTTGAGTAAAAACTGGGATGGAGAGAGGGTACAGGGTGGTGTGTGGGTAATTGTTAAGACCCCTCCCCCACCTCCCCACTATTTTTGATGAACTACTTACTCTAAGACAATTCTGAACACAGAGTACTGAATAAAATAGTCTCTCAGTTTCTCCATCTATAAAATGGGTGAGCAAGTAGACAATGTGTTCTCTAAGGCATTTATATGTAGGGTTGTTATTTACTTTTAATCAGTCACACGCTGGTTTGCGATGTCATGTGAGTAGCTGGATTTATTGACATTTGAATGTTTGCCTTTGCCACACATGCCCTGGTCTGACCCCTCCGCTACCTCCTGCCCCAGATCCCCTCCAACCTCTGCTCAGGATCCTCCTGAGAGATGTCTTTGCCCCCTTAGGACCTGGTCCAAGCCCCTGGGCCAGGCATCGGGATCCTTGCAGCCCCGCTTCCTGCTCGCTGCCACAGACACTGAGGCCAGTGGGAAGCATGGTTTCCCCTCCCTAGCCTGGATCACAGGCTCTTCCCAGACCCCGAGGGGAGTCAGCATCCTCCAACAGTCAGATCCCTAAATGGAAACGGGAGTTGCTGAGAGAGGGACCCAGAGAAGGGCCAGGTGTCAAGAACCCATCCGCACTCTCCCAGGGCCCCCAGCTGCGTGCCCTTAGACAGGCCCCTTCCCTCTCTGAGCCTCCATCCCTCTGTGAAATGGGGGACTGACGCCTCTCACCTCATGGGTAGAGATGATGACTGAACGTACAATCTGTACTCACAGAACACTCCCTCCCAGAGCCGCTGGCTGCTCCCCCGCCATCTTCCCCTCCTCCCCGTCTCTCCAGGCATCCTTCGTCCTGGCGCCCCCCTTCTCCGCAGGTCAGGCTGCTCCCCCCACCCACTGCAAACCAGCCCAGCCGACCCAGAGGGCTCTTTCCCAGAATCCATGACTTGAGCCCATGACCTTTGAAGGGAACTCAGTCCTGCCTGCTGCCAGCATCTCAGAGGGGACCAGGCCGGGTGGGCAGCAGTCACAGGGCCCTGGCCCATCCGGGTTTCCATGAGCAGTTCAAGGCTGCTCCCAAAAACAAACGCAATGTGCATCTTGTCAGCCTCGTGCTGCAGATGTGTAAGATAAACCCTCATAAATCTCTGTCCGGGGCCTGTTAGAAAAATGCTGAAAATCAGAGGAGCGTGGCAATGGCCACAGACCCACAGTCTTCCTCCCGTCCCTTCTCTCTCATCTGCTTCTTGCTCTGCCTCCGTTTCCCTCTTTATCTCTCTTTGACTCTGTCACTCTGTCTCTGAGGGCCCCCTTCTCGATCTGTCTGTCCCTCCCATTTCCTCCCTCAGCTCTCCCCACCCCATTAAGAGAGGCCCCAGCCTACCAGACGCCCACAGAGCACGTATTTTAATGCAGCTTCACAATATTCCAGAGAAGCAGATGCACCATGTAAGACATTCCTCCCGCTCCTTAGAACAGCAATTAAACAGACAGGACTGGGTGAGGGGGAAGGAGAGCGGAGAAGAAAGGCTCCTTGGTGGGGGGAGGGGGCAGCTCTTCCTAACAAAGGCGGCCAATGGTACAAGGGCCTTTGTGTGACTGTGTAGCGCTGTGACATCTTTCTGCCCTGTGCACCAGCCTAGGGAGGGTGGCCAGGCTGACGGCGGCTCAGCGGGCAAAGCCTGGCATTGGAGAGACAGTCAGGAAGACAGCAGGTGGTGCAGGGACCCATCCAGAGGGATGCTGTGGGCGAGCACAGGGTTCTGCGCCCCGCATTCTCATCTGGGCTCTGCTCTGCGGGCCCACGTGAACGCAGGCGGCTTTCAAATACTCACTCACGCTGTGGTCTCTTCCCTAACTCATTCATTCATTCAACAAGCATGTTTTAAGCCCTGAGCAGGTTTGAGGTCTCTAGGTCTGTGGCTAAACTAGGGGTTAATAATTATCAGAACAACACGGGGGCGTGTGAACAGGGTTGCCTGGGGATCCTGGCAGCTCTCCCAGAGGAGATGAGACATCTCAAGACTGAAGGACGGGAAGGATTTGGCCAAATGGAGTGGGATGGGGATGGCTGTCTGAGGGGGCTGGAAGTGTCGTGAAGGGCCCTACAGCTTACAGGAAAGCAGAGGGGGTCTAAGAGGACAAGAGCCTGCCAGGGTCGGCAGGATAGCAGAGGGTCTCCGAGGTGACAAGAAGGCTGCCTGCATCCCAGCATCAACACCGTCACCATCAGTCAGGGCTCACCTTCCGATGCCAGTGGGGGCAGGCGGAGGTCATGGGAATGTGAAGCAGGCCGGGCGGCGGAGACAGCACAACACTCGACGATCTGTGCTCATCAGAAGAGGACACCAGTGGTGGCCGTGTGGACTGGGCCCAGAGTTGCCAGATTATCCACATTTTCATGAGAAGATGTGAAATATGTGATCTGAGTCCACTGTATCCAGAAAGAAGAAGGTGATGCAGAAATTTGTGAGGGCGCCATTAGCCACTGGACTCTTTACTGTTCCCAGGAATCAATACGGCACTTGGCTCCTCATGTTGGCCAAGCAGTGAGGCAGTTCTGGGATTGCCAGTCTTCCCTGGTTGCTCTCTCCTTTTCCCAGAAATCCTCATTGCTCTCTGCAGTCTTGAAGCACAGAAAATGTGCCCACTGATCACTGACCTTTCCCACATGGAGTTGTTTTTAGTTCTATGGACATTGAGAGGTTGGAGATCTCCTGGGTCAGCTATTTCCTCTCTTATGGCTAAGGTGGGGGCTTCTTTGAGTTCCTCACCTTTCTAACATTTCATCAACTCACCCACTCAGCTTAGAATGTAGTCATCTCATCAAGGAGACAAAAGTAGCCACATGCAAGCAGAAACTTCTCATATAAGATAACAGAGCTCTTACTGGAAGGATTAAAGGCAGCTTCCAAGGACACCGTAAGTTAGAGCAATCTTCACCCATAAATAGCAGACCTACTGAAGAAACAAATGACAGCATTGGGACATAAAAGGAAGCACAACTAAAGCTTATTTACAAAAAGCACACATGAGGTTCTAGAAATTTGCTATGATTGGGCACAAGATTGATGATGAGCTTCCTAGCAGCCAGTGTGAAAAGGGAATTTCAGTCAGTGACATAAATCACAATGATCATGCCATTTGAACAAACCAATTGCCCAGGAGAATTATAGTAATAGCTAGAATATATTAGGTGTTTACTACTTCTTATAAGGGAGGCACTATTATTATCCTCACTAACAGGAAAGAAAAGTTCATAGCTTGCCCACGGTCATACACTTGGTGGAACAAGGGTTGGAATACAGACTATCTAAATTCAGAGCCTCAGCTTTAATCCATCTTGTAGTTTTAAGAGAAGGATCTCTTCCAAGGATTCTCATAAGTATGGACAGTGCGTAATAACCAACATTCTTGCAGTAAGCACAGGAGGAATGTCATGTTTTATCCCACCCCTACACACATTTACACTTTCCCGCCAACACACATTTCAGGTCTGCATGGTTCCCATGGAGAGTCTCCGTTCCCAACTGGCTGCCATCTGGCAGCCTCCGGGAAAGATTGGAGAATATTTGGAAAGGGAGGTGGACAATCTGTCTTTAAAGCAATTCTTGCTCAATACTGATTCTCTCACTGAGCTTTGGCTAAATATTGCCTCACTCATTCAACACATTTATCCTGAGGCTGTATGCTGCCAGGCACAGTCCTAAGCTCCAGTCCCATCACTATAAGCACAGCAGGCAGGATCCCCACCCTCATAAACCTATAATCTTCCAGTAGAGACAAACATCAAACAAGTAAAAACACAGATAAAACACATTTTCACATATTCGGATAGGTCTGTGAATGAAGCATAATGAAGGGGGCATGATTCCCACTGGGGCAGGGCAATGCAAGTGCCCTTGGAGGAAATATCATTTAATCTGGCAACTAAATGATGAGAAGAAACTGACCAGGCAAAGAAGAGAGACAAAAGCCCTCCAGACCCAGGGAATAGCATGGGCCAAGGCCCTGAGCTGGGACATAGGTGAGAGTGTCCCAGGGGCTGTCACTTGACTGTGTTGCTGGAACATAGTGGATGAGACAGAATGGTAGCAGATGAAACTGACGAGATGAGTAGGGTAAAATTCATTTTTGTCGTTTAAATTTGCTTGAAATTAGACCCCTGGCAACTGACTGGATTTCTGTGATTCTGTGTTGTAGCTGCAAATAGACATGCACAGTCAATTTGTTGGCTGGATGGATGGAGGGATAGAGGAATGGATGTATGGATGAATGGATGGGTCAAAGGCTGTGTCCTGAAAGCCTCATGAAGTCATCATGGGCAGGATGAATCAGCTGGGGGAGACACAAGGGAAGAGCTCCATTAAGACACTTTTGTCCCCACCCAAGCAAAGGCAGAAAGGACGTTGTGTAGGAAGGTCCTTGAAGAAGACTTCAGCTCTGCTCTAAAAAAAGTCCTGTTTGGTCAAATGAAGGCACTAGGTTCAAAGAATCCAAGGGGCTCCCATCTGTTGCAGAGAAGATTGGCTTTAGAGCAGGACATGTGAGAGGGTCATAATGGTACTACGTTACTTTGTGGTTTACAAAGCACTGACAGTGTGATAAAATGATGATGCCGATGATGACTGTGGTTTGTTGCACACCTACTAGATGCCAGACCCTGTGCTAAGCACTTCAAAGCATTTGCTCATTTAACTCTCACCACGGTTCTGCACAGGCTGTGCTATTCCCACTTCATCCCCCCACCTCCATTTTGCAGATGAGGGCACTGTGGTCCAGAGAGGTAACATAACTCGTCCAAGGCCACAAAACTCCCTCTCCACCTCCCCAATAAAAGCACCTTTTTTATTTGGAAAGCACCTCAAATACTTCGTACTGCCCACCTCCACCTTCCCAGAGCACAGCTCTTAGTTGGCACCTGTGCCCACGGCATGCTGGGTGGATGCTGTGGTATTTCCAGGCATATTTGCCTGACACAAAGGTACAGGAGGGGAGGGATGAGGGTGAGGAGTGCCTGGGACAAGATGGGTTGAGCAACACAGTAAGCAAGGAACCTTCTGGGCAAGGCTTTAATGCTGTTTGGTAAGTGACTGGATCTCCTATTTAGTCTCATCCATAAACAAAGCCATGCACAAAAGCCATGTTCCCAAATTGCTTCCCAGACACTGATAATCCCCAGAGGCTTTGTGAAATGTTTTGAAAGTTGCCCCAATAAAATTTCACTTAACTATAAACTTAAAAAAGAGTTATTCACCCAAAACAATGCAAATGAAAATAGCAATGAGCTATGATTACTCTATCAGATGGGCAAGATGAAAAGGCATGATAACAGCCATGGTTGGAGGGGCGTGGTGAGATGAGCAGGGATCTCTCACACTAGGCTGAGGGAGCATGCATCGATAACATCTTTCTGGAGGGCAATTCAGTATTGCTCACTCACAGCTTTGGGACTGAGCATATGCTTTGACAGCCATTTCACTCTGCAGAATTTATTCATAGGAAAGAATTCGGAATATGCACCAATGTGGTCCCCCAAAGGGAGCAGTGGGTTTCTGGCATGCTGGAAGCTGCCAGCAGTGGATTCTGAGGACGATACCACCTTGAGGTCTTCAATTGCTGAAATCAGCCACAGAGGAATGGGAATATTTACTCTACAGAAATGGACAAGCACTGCAAGTCAGGGTCTTTCTCTCCCCTAGACAGTCTTAACACTTACCAATTTGACACAGTGAGTGGTCAAGATGATTTACAATTGGTAACAACTGAAATGCCCACCAATTGGAAATTGGTTCATATATAAGTGCAGCCATCAGACAGAAGAGTGTGTGGGAAGAAGTATTGACTGATTGACATGGGAACACATGCCGGAAGGAGGCTGAGTGAAGAAGCGGTTACAGAACACTGGGTGCATTCTGATATCAAACACACATATGTGCGCGCGCGCACACACACACACACCTTTCTACCACCACAGTTTGTCTGGAAGTCTCTCCAAGAAGATGTAGCATCAGTTATTTCTATGGAGAGTAAAGAGGGGCCCTGGGCAGGGATGGAAGAGAAGCATACCCTTCACTGTGAACTCTTTTCACTGTAGAGACTTTATCAGGAGCATGCTTTCCTTATTGTTTTTCAGTCACTATGTGTCCAACTCTGCGACCTCATGAACCACAGCACACCAGGTTTCCCTTTGCTCAGACTCATGTCCATTGAGTCCGTGAAGCCATCCAACCAGCTCATCCTCTATCACCCCCTTCTCCTCTTGCCCTCAATCTTTCCCAGCATCACGGTCTTTTCCAGTGAGTTGACTCTTTGCATCAGATGACCAAAGTATTGGCGCTTCAGCATCAGTTCTTCCAATGAATATTCAGGGTCGACTGCCTTTAGGATGGACTGGTTGGGTCTCCTTGAGGTCCAAAGGACTCTCAAGAGTCTTCTCCAACACCACAGTTCGAAAGCATCAATTCTTTGGTGCGCAGCTTTCTTTACGGCCCAGCTGTCACATCCATACATGACCACTGGAAAAACTGGTGAAGGTTTACATTCTAAATGAGGACCAGCAGTAGGATAACCAGGGCACTAGGCTTCCCTGGCATCTGACAAGCCAGGGCATCCGGCTACGTGGAGCGACTGAAGGGCGTTTTCCTGCCAGTCAGGGCCTGACAAACGTGGGCCTCTGGAGAAGGGGACGCAAATCACTTCAGTATTCTTGTATGAACCCAATGAACCCAAAGAACCCAATGAACACAAAGGTTTCCTTAAACTGTTTTAAAAACACATTCATCAAAATTGTAATTCTGCACATTTCTAACTCCAGTACAGAAACAAGACTGGACATATATGCTAAATGTTAGCAGGACTCTCTCTGACTGTGGAGGACTTTTTAAAGTTTTATTTGTTTTTTGTGTTTCCTTTTCTTCATGCTTGTCTTGGTTTTCTGCATATGGGGACAATATTCTATTTCAGAGAAATGGCACCCTGATTCACTTGTTCCAAGAGGAACAAGAGAGAGTTGCAAGAATAAGGATCACAGTTCTAGTGGCATCCATGTGGAACAAAACAAGATTTTATGGTGATGACAGGGCAAATGGTGCCCCAGCTCGAGAGTGCTGAGGGGAAGCTGGCAAAACCACCAAGTCCAAGTAAAGACTGGCACCGCTGGACTCCTGCTGTAGGGTGTCGAGGGCAGATTTGAGGCCAGGGAATTTAGTGACCAGCCTCTTTTGCATGGGTTTTCAGAAGGGAGCATGGGAGGGTATTTACTGGAGGGAGGGTCAGGCTTAGGAAAGCCTAGGTCCCTCGGGGAGGAACTGAGATTTGCAGGCCTGGGGTGGTGAGTAGGCGGGATGGTTTTGTGATCAAATATGTGTGCATGTGTTCATTCATTCATTCAGTGAATTCTTTCATTACTAGTTCCTAGGCCATTTCTCTGAGGCAGACCCAGGTCAAATACCTGAGAAGCTGTTGTGTCTAAACCTTGAATCACAAGGAAAACATTTCCCATTTAACAGTGGATGAAACTGATGCCCAGGGAAGTAAGGTCACTTGCCCAGGTGTTTCTTTAGATGCAGATTCTCTGATGCTGGAGGACAAGCCTGCCTTCTAGACTTGAGGGACTCTTGCAGGATGGCCATGGCAAAGAGATAAAATCGGCCTTTGGAAATTCACTTTATCTTCCCTTCTCCACTCTCTCTTTGGCAGCAAGCCCACTGACCCTTCTACACACAGACCAATGAGGAGGTCCTGCCCCTCAGCACACCCTGCAGCCAGGCAGGGCCCAGAAGGGGTCCTGTCCCACAGGCGAGGGAAAGGGTAGCTGTCACATGGCCCCTCCTGCCGCCCCCCGCCTGTGACCTATACTAGGCAGCCCCACCCCGGTACCCACACCACCAAGGTCCCGGGGATGGAGCCTGCAGGTAGGACAATGAGCCTGGGCTCCAGAACCTATGAAGGCCGCGTGCTGCCTCAGCTTGGCCTTCAGTCCCAGCCAACATGCACCTGGTGATCGTGAAGCTTGAAGCATAAGCCTGGCCTCCGGCCCTCCTGCTACACAGCCACCCCCAGTTCAGGCCAGCTGTCTGCCCGGAGGCAATAGCTCTAGTAGAGAGAAGGGGCTCTGCATCAGCCAAGCCTGGTGCCAATCCCGGCTCTACCACTTACTAGCTGTGCAATCTGGGCAAGTCAGTTAACCTCTCTGAATCTCTTTCTGCCCAAGATTCTGGGCCTGAAAAAGGCATTAGAGCATGGGGTTAATGATGGTCATTAATCACAGCCAGCCAATGCAGGGACTTCTGCCCACAATAAAGGAACAGAATCTGGACTGACCCTTGCACCTGAAACAAACAAAATAGGACACAACATACAAAATAACAGTTTTCAAAACACTAGGCATGAGGCAACAGCAATCCTGGAGGGTCAGAAAACAGAAAGGACAAGCCCACTGCTTCGAGAGTTCCCAGATCACAGCCTGGGGTAGGAGGAGGAGTGGGAACCGTGTAGATCCTGATGGTCTCGCTGAGTTGAAGAGATCAGATTGAGAGCCCTGGGAGCCCCAAGCAGCTAGAGTTTCCAGCAGAGAGTATTGGATGGGAGGGTACTCCAGAGAAAGAGAGAGATCCAGAGAAACTTCAAAGGCCTCACTTGCATACTCAGCTGAGTTGACCAGTACACACAAGTGGTAAACTTTTAATCTCTGAGCTGGGGAAAGAACCATCCAAAAGGATTAGATGGAGCAGTGGGTGTTTAGACAGGGGAAGGAAGAGTGCCTGTTCTCTCCACCCGGACTGGCAAACCACACGATGTGCAGAGCATCGCGGCTACACGATACATAGAAGAATCTTACCTTACTGATGGAGAACAGTCAGTCCTAACTCCTGAGCACTGCTCTAGTCCAGCCTAACAAGTCTTAGAAGCAAGCCCTGAAACGATGAAACGGCTTCTAAATAATTTCATCCTAGAACATAGGAATATAAAAATAATCTATTCCCAGCAAGGTAAAATGCACAATGTCTGCCATCTAATCACAAAAGTCCAGGGAAGCAAAGAGGCAGGAGAATATGATCCATAGTAAGAAAGTCAACGAAAGCCAGTCAACGAAAGCTGACCCAGAACTGACATGAATGTAAGAATGAGCAGACAAGGACATTGAAACAGTTATTATAACTGCATTCCATATGTTGAAAAAGTTAAACAGAGACTTGGAAGATATAAAACAGACTTCTAGAGATGAAAACTACCATGTCTGAGACATTACACTGGATGGGCTCCATGGCAAAGATTAGTGAACATGGAGACATCAGTAGAGACTACCAAAAATGAAACACAAAGAGAAAAGAATTTTTTTAAAGGATACAACATTTTTAAAAGATAGTTGTGAGACAACTTCAAGCTTCTTAATACACGTGTAATTATGGGAGTAAAGGACAAAATATATTTAAAAAAAATAATCACCCCAGATTTCCCAACCAACGATCTAATAGCTAATGCTTTCCAGGCGGTCTTCTTTGTGCCAAGTACCATTCTAAGTACTTACACAGATTAAACTCACCTACTTCTTATGGTCCTATAAAAGCCATGTAATTCTTGATTTATCCCCACTTTGAAATCAAGAAACAGAGGCCCAGAGGGTTAACCAGTGGCCCAATGGCACACAGCTGATGAGAGGCTGAGCCCATCCTGGAATCCAGGAATTTCACATTCTGTTCAGACCTCATCCCTGCCATTTCTGAATGTTTTCCACATCAGTAAACAGCATGCATCTATTTTTTTTAGTGGCTGCATAATATTCCATTGCTAGCATTTATTGCACAAATTCCTCATGGCTGAAATGTGGCCTCTAATTTTTCACCATGATGAAGAATGCTTCCCAGGATGTGCACAGAGCTGAACCATGGTGGCCCTTGCCTGATTATGGTCCTCAGTTTCTCAAAATGGGGCAACAGGGGCAAAAGCAGGCACATATTGAGGGCTTTGCTGCATATTGTCAGCTTGTCCACAATACAACCCCCCAAACCCCACAATTGGCTCCTTGTTGTGCCTTCAGTAAATGACTTAACCTCTCTGAGCCTCAGTGTCCTCATCTATTTAAAAAAAAAAAAAAGAGCATAGCATCCCCTGCCTCTTAGGGCTGTTGTGAGGATTAAATCAGACAGCAGATGCCAAGTGGCCATCACATTGCACCGTGTGGTATGTAGGAGGTGCTCCTTTTCTACGACATGAATGGTGCCTCCTTGGTGCCTCCTTAGAACTGACTCGCGCTGGGGGGCGTGGGAGGAGCCCAGAGGTGCCCTCCAGCTCTGAGGCCAGCCCCCAAGAGTCTCCCTCAGACAACTCAGGGCTGTTTTGAGCATCTCCAGCTGGAACCTTCCCCTCCTGATCCACCCGCTGACTCATGGTCTCACCCAAGCTATGGCAAAACAAACCTTTGCTTATTTTCTTTCTGTGTGGGTCCCTCCCTGCTTTTCTATCAGCTTCTTTCAGGTAGAAGAGGTTTACACTTCACAGGTAAAACACAAAATCCCCCAGCCCTCCCCACAGGGGCACATGCACACGCCCACTGTGTCTCCCCACCCCCACAGCATCCCCCAGGAACCTATTATGACCTCAGAGCTATTTTTGCACAGAGACTTCTAGAGAGCACAGATAATGCAAAGGGTGATTCTGACAGCACAACCGTAGGTGCTGTGGGTGCTTGCACAGCCCGGACCCTGAGCTGGTCCTGCTCCACTGGCCAGTCCCATCATGGCTTCTTCACTGGTAATGGGATTGGACCCCAAACAAGAATTTTCTAAATCAAACATCATTTTCCACTAAATCAAATTCACAAGGGAATGCCTTCCCTTTCTGTCCTCCTCCCAAGAACACAGCTTTAAAAAATATGGTGTTAATGGGATTTTTAAAGCCTACTAGCTAATGTGAAGAGAGAAAGATCCTGGGAGAAACATGTTCTCCTGATGGATTAAATTACAAACACTTGCAGTGAGGATGGGATGAATGTTTACTGAGCACATACTCTGTGTCAGGCACAGGGCCGGCATCTGCCTCCAAATGCTCACCTCCAACAAGGCAGAAGGCAGCTGCAATGATCTCCCAGGTGAGCATTCTGAGGCCCAGGGAGGCCAAGGGGCTTCCCCCCAGGTCACACTGCAAGCTCTGTGTGGGCCAAGAAGGGGGGTCCAGGCCCTCCTGACTCAGATATGAGGAAGAAGTCCCCTTCTCTTGGGGTTCAATAGGTGGAGTGAGTCCTTTGTGGAAGCCACTGCCCCCAGTAGCCAAGTCTGGTCTCTTCCCAGCCTCCTCTCATCCATCGGAATCCCTCTGCACGACTCAGCTCTTTGCATATAGTAGGTCCTTCCTCTCTAATGATCTCTGTGCTCCATTTGTCCTTCCCTTCATTCATTCAGCCTGCATCCACTGAATACCTACTACATGCTGGCCCTGTGCCGGGAGTTAGGGATGCAGCACTAAACAAATGATTATGTTGTTGCCTATATGAGCTCACTTTCCCTGTATGAGCTTACTTTGCCAACAAATGTCTGTCTAGTCAAAGCTATGGTTTTTCCAGTGGTCATGTATGGATGTGAGAGTTAGACCATAAAGAAAGCTGAGTGCCAAAGAATTGTTGCTTTTGAACTGTGGTGTTGGAGAAGACTCTTGAGAGTCCCTTGGACTGCAAGGAGATCAAACCAGTCAATCCTAAAGGAGATCAGTCCTAAATATTCATTGGAAGGACTGATGCCGAAGCTGAAACTCCAATCTTTTGGCCACCTGATTCAAAGAACTGACTCACTGGAAAAGACCCTGATTCTGGGAAAGATTGAGGGCAGGAGGAGAAGGGGACATCAGAGGATGAGATGGTTGGAAGGCATCACTGACTCGATGGACATGAGTTTGAGTAAGCTCCAGGAGTTGGTGATGGACAGGGAAGCCTGGCATGCTACAGTTCATGGGGTCGCAAAGAGTTGGACAAGACTGAGCGACTGAACTGAATTGAACTGTATAGACTAGTCTCTGCTTCAAGCCTCAGTTCCCACCTTTGTAAAGTGGGGACCAAAATGAAACTTGTCTCACAGGCTTGTTGGAATATTCCAAGGAGGAAACAGCTATGTAGCCATGCCTGGAGTGTGAATAAGTGGTCTATGAGGGTTAGACATTAGTCTACGTCCAAGACACCCTAATAGAAAGAATGAGTGAGGCAGACATTTCCAAGTCTCTCAATGAGTAGGAAGTGCAGAGAGCAGAGCAGCATTCAAGAAGGAGGTAGATTTTCCTAAAGACCATCCTGTGTGGTTGTTGCCCCAGTGCCTTATACCTTCCTCTTTCAGCCTGACCGAAGCAGCACCTCCAAGCTTAGAGATAGTCACATGCAAACTAAAGCTCTCACATGCAATAAACTTTTCTCTTCACAGCACCTGGAGTGTCTTCCCCACTAATCTGATGATGTCACACTTCTGCTTAAGTGGCTTCCTGTTATCCTGGGATCAAACCCCAGTTCTTCCCTATGGTCCACTGAGCTCTGCATGACCTGACCTCTGCTCCTCTGACTTTATCCCAGCTCTTTCGGTTCTGCCCATGGGATCTGCTCCCTCCAAGTCCCTGATCTTTGCCATTCTGTTTCCTTGTCCTGGAATGCTTCCCACCACTCCCTCTTCTCCTAGCTACAGTCTTCAGACTTCAAGGAAGACTTACCTTTATTCCTTCTCTCTCCTATCTTGCTCTGAGCATCCCCACCTCTGCCACACAAACCCTTTTCCTTTGTGAAGCTTCTCAAGGGGACAAGTATGCATGTATTCATGAGGTTATTTACTTATTGCCTCCCCGCCAACCCAGTCTATGACCACCAGTATGGTCTTTAGGAAAATCTACCTCCTTCTTGAATGTTGCTCTGCTCTCTGCACTTCCTACTCATTGAGAGACTTAGTAGAAATGTCTGCCTCACTCATTCTTTCTATTAGGGTGTCTTGGACATAGTCCCCACGTCTAACCCTCATAGGCCACTTAGTCACACTCCAGGCATGGCTACATAGCTGTTTCCTCCTTGGAATATTCCAACAAGCCTGTGAGACAGGTTTCATTTTGGTCCCCACTTTACAAAGGTGGGAACTGAGGTTTGAAGCAGAGAATCAAATTCCCCCGGTCATTCATTGGCTTCCAGGAAGCAGAACAAGAATAAAGAAAAGTTCTAGTGGGCCAGTTCTTTTGGTCTTGGCATTAGTTGTAAAATAAACTTATACTGGGCTTCCCTGGTGGTCTAGGGGTTAAGAATCTGCCTTGCAATGCAGGGGACATGGGTTTGATCCCTGGTCTGGGAAGATCCCACATGCCATGGAGCAACTAAGCCCAGGCACCCCAACTACTGAGCACGCACTGCAGCTGCAGAAACCCACAAACCCGGAGTCCACACTCCACCATGAGAGAGGCCTAGGAACCGCGACCAAGAGCAGCCCCCGCTTGCTGCAACTGGCGAAAGCCCGGGCACAGCAACAAAGACCCACCATAGCCAAATGAGTAAACAAATCTTTTAAAAATAAATAAACTTGCACATCCTGAAAGGGCATGAAGGAAGCACACACCCGCCTGACCACAGCCTGACGCCCCCTGGTTACTGCTGAGTATCTGGGCTGCGTCTCCAAGGACAGGGACCTTCCTTATCCACAGTAAGCACCCCATAAATGACTGGATAAAATATTGCAACAGCTTCTTCATGGGGGTGCATATCTCCACTCTCTCTGTCCTCCAGGCCCTTTGCCAGCCTGCTCAAAATCCCTCCACGGCTCCCTATTAATCTAGAGTGGCCAGCAAACTCCAGGCCCAGGGCTCTCCCCAGCCAGTCTTGAACTCACCCTGTGAAGTCTTGTATTCTGGGTAAGCAGTGTTTGAAAAGCCACAAAAACATCAAGAAAAAAAAAAAAAAAAACAAGCAAAGTTGTAAATAGCAGAGCTCAGGAGTGAGATCTGGGTGCTTTGGTTTTTCTATAAATCACTGATAGGCCACATACCAAGTGCTAGGGACCTACACATGAGCAATGTTGGTCCCCACCTACAGCCAGCAGCTTGCCACCAGGCCTAGGGCACCAGCATTAACGTCCTCCTCTATAGGAAGGTGTCATCTCCTGGCAACCCTCGTGAACATACAGCAGTGAACACGCACACCTACGCTGCACACCCTTACCTTGGCACCCCAAGAAGGCCGGGGTGTCAGGGAACCAGCACGCTACCAGCAACAGCAGAACTCTAGTGGAGATAGGAGGCATAAGGTGTTTTTCTAGGGTTTTTTTTTTTTCAATTTTAGTTGACACGCAATATTATGTTAGTTTCAGGCATGTGTGCCTGCTAAGTTGCTTCAGTTGTGTCCGACTCTTAGCGACCCTATAGACTACAGCCCACCAGGCTTCTCTGACCATGGGATTCTCCAGGCAAGAATACTGGAGTGGTTTTCCATGCCCTCCTCCAGGGGATCTTCCCGACCCGGGGATCAAACCCACATCTCTTATGTTTCCTGCATTGGCAGTCGGGTTCTTTAACACTAGCGCCACCTGGGAAGCCCAGGTGTACAACGTAATGAGACTTGAACCACAAGTTTCAAGTGTACAATATAGTGATTTGATGTTCAAATCCATTACAAAATCATCCCCATAAGTCAGGTAACCATCTGTCACCATGCAAAGTTATTACAGTTTTATTGACTACATTCTTGATGCTGTATCTTACATCCCCATGACTTATTTCTTTACATTTTTCTTATCAAAGTACAATTGATTTAGGAGGGCTAAGCTTTGATTCCAGTGGGAATAAGCAGGTAGGTCACGCTGGGTGGGATGGTGTAATATAGAAATAAATGTTTTGGGCAGGTGTGCTTACTGTTGTATTGCTTTCCCACTTTATAGTCAGAAGGGCCCTGATTGCTCAGTTCATGGGGCAGACTCCTGGGGGCCTTACTGCTAGTCAAAATGACCTCAGACTCTAAAGCTTAAGGCAGTGACTTGCAAAGCCCCCCACAAAGGAATCACAGGGTAGGGTTGTAGAAGCCCAGATTCCAGAGCCTCACCCAGACCTAGCCAATCAGGAATTCTAGGGTCAGGGGCCGGGACTCTGCGTTTCAGACACCCAGCCCTCATGGTTCTTATATCCGTGACACGGAGGAACAAAGCCCCTCAGGTGACTATCTATGTGACTTCTGACAGATGACGGAGAATCCTGAAAGAACCGATGAGCTGCTTTCCAGGTCAAGCTGCCAACAGAGACTCATCCACAGAGTGCCAAAGCCAGGGAGAGTCAAAGAGGGGGTCACGCCTGGGCCGTGCAGCTCACCAGGCTGAAGGGGGTGGGGGGGGGTGACCGGGAAGGATGTTCCCGGCAGGAGGGACAGCAGAGAGGCTTGGCAGCTGGGCGCATGGTGGAGAGGGTGGGGGACCAGACCGAGCAGTTTGGAGGACCCTGACTGATCACCACTGGTCCCCTCTGAGCCTGAGAGTCTTTGTTCATAAGATGAAGCAATTCCAGGTTTCACAGATTCTACAAGTCACGTTTGCTCACATTGCAGTG